GAAAACTGAGACAGACGACAGTACGAAGTACACCTTTGATGATGGGTGAAATATAAAATCGATCCTGATGAATGAAAAATCATTTTTTCACAACGTTTTATTAGCTTTTTTCATTCTCTATCATGTTAGCACAGCTAAATGAAACGATAATTTCAAATTTCAAATCATGAAAATACTGAAACATAAAACCAACAGTGGAATTACTGAATTCATATCACCTGATTAAAGGTCAATGTACGCGCAACTAGCGGGCCATACCACAATACCTAATAATTTACAACACTCCTCTAAATACCTAACTTATCTACTTAACCTAATATTTTGCCACTGTACTTGTCTCCATGTAGCGACTTTAATCCGAATTTACAGGTAAAATAACCCAAATAACTGGTTCGATTTCCCGCTAATAAAAAAATACTTAAATGAAATGTAACCAAGGTTAGAGTCATGAGTTTTTATTCATAGTGTAGGTATGTTTATTATTCTCATGTATTCAGTTATTTACCTATTCAGATTAGTCCAGTACTAGGTAATTTAAAAAAAATAGTTATGAAACACCTTACCGCTCTAAATCCTCCGTGGTCTTATGAGATGCGGCTCAAATTGTGCTCCATTCATTTCAAGGCAGATTTGGGCTCGGTGTTGCGTCTCCTCATGGAGGCTGGGCATCATCGTGTGGTCTTCGACACAGTCCGTACGTAGTTTGTCGAAAACATCCACGATCCTTTTGTAGTTTCGTCAGCAGTATTACACTCACGATTAAAAACCCTTTCTTTCACATACCCCAAAGAAAGAAGTCTAACGGGGTCAGATCTGGTGAGCGAGGTAGCCAATCGTGTGGTCCTAGTCCGCCAAATCTAGCGATCATAAAATAATTCGGTGAGGCGCTCACGGACGAACCTCACGACATATGGAGGTGCACCAGAATGCTGGAACTATGTGCGGCGATATTCAGCCAACGATAGGTCGTCTAAAATGTCAACCAACTGTTCATTTATAAAGCTTAGGTATCGCTGTCCGTTCAGTCGCTGTGGCAGAAACACTGGTCAAAAAATGCGATCCTTAAATAAACCTGCCCATACGTTAACCGATCATCGGGTTTGGTGCCCGGTTTGTCAAACAGCGTGCGGGTTAACCTCTGAATACAGGTGTGTATTTCTTCGGTTCCACAGGCTGTTTCTGGTAAATGCCGACTCATCCGTCCAGATAATGTGCTCAATGGACACACACGTTGTTGCTGGTCTAATAACCAACGGCAGAAAACGCATCGGCGGTCGTGATCGCCGGGAACTAAAGCTTGCACTTTGTGCAATTTGTATGGGCGCATTCGGTTACGCTTCAACACTTTGTGCACTGCACAGTATGACACACTTGTTCCATCTCGACGTCTTAACAATTTATTTAGTGATACTTCGTGTACCTAGGTTCGGATACCTAACATGTTGCCGTATTCACGAGCACTATGAACGTAACCGTGAGGCATTATTAAAATAAAAAAGAATAAAAAAACGTAACAACAAGAATAATACCAACACGTAATCACAAGCAATAACAATAACAATTTAATAAACAAAACGATTGAACTGTCGCTTGCGGACGCGTGTACAAAATCAACACGAAACCAATTGCATCACAGCGTGAGGCGACACCAGCCGGCTAGGTTAGGCGTTCTGCCGTCATAATAAAGAAAGACGCAACTAACAAAAACGTAAAATGGAAATAAAAAATAAATAGACAAATTTTTCTTTCAGGCCCTGCTGTGTCTAAAGATACTTAAAAGGTATCAATATGAAAATTGAAATATACTTAGAGACATGAAGATTTTAAAGACGAACTTTTTTTTTGATAATTTGTTTATTTATTTAAATAAAACGAATTTTCCTTTTCATCTTAGCTTAAAAAATACACCTGGCAACACAAAAACACCGAATGAAAGACGCATATAACCATTTGCGTCTTTCCAACCTAATAAATAAAAAAAACTGCCATTCATTTAACATTTTTACATATTTTGGAAAGGTCATTTGAAGTTGAAAGGATGCTAATAGTAATTTACTACTTTTATATTAGTAAATATTAGAAAAGCATTGGTAATGAGACACAAAAAATAACAGCCCGCAACTCATGAGTAATGATTTTAAAGGGGATATCATACAAGACTTACTGCGATAATAATTAAAAATTAAAAATTTTGTACAACCGACTTCAATATAAATAATTAAGGATAACTCAAAAACTTTTGGTCTGACCTCGATCAAATTTATATGGGACCACATGTGAAACAGCAGCTCTTAATAATAAGATATAAGCTCTTAATAATAAGATATAGAATAATAAGACAAGAATAATCGAAATTTTAGTAATCGATGCAAATATTGTTAAAGATGACGTAGCAACTGGTTAAATAAGTCTTTTATTTTATGTTGAATTTGTATAAGTCTTTTTTTGCTAAAAAAATGTCATCTGTGATCAACAGTTACGTCTAAAATTCTTACGATATTTTCTAAAATATTGATATTTTTGAATATTAAAAAAATTTAGATGCGCAATCTTAAAGTAGTCGAATGGTATATTTAACTCATTTATTCAAAAATTGTTAGATGCGCCCTTTTTTCTTATGACGGCAGCATTGTTTCGCACCGAGCTAGATACAGGTCTACAGTGGAGAGAGTGTGGGTACAGTCACGTTCTAAAGTACTACATGGTATTGGGCTATTGTTTTATAATATTATAGTAATTAATTGTTTTATTGTAGAATAGGTGTTTTACTAGCTACTTAGATTTTTGGAAGAGGTTGGAATTAAAATGGATAATGTTTACTTGAGCATTATTTGTTATTTCTATCTTAAAATATAAAGTAGTTTGTAACAAGAAAACTTAAGCTAAGGGTGACACGCCGTCCATTATGTCGTCTTAGGTCACATGGAAGCCAGATGTTGATGGTGTGTTGGTGTTACTGGATGCTACTTCATCATCACTTTCATCTTCGCTTGAGCTTCCGTCATCAGGTCGATCACATGGTAATTTTTTCGGTATTCTTCCTCAACACTTTTAATTTCACTGCACAATTTTCCCCATTCACCTTCTCCTATCATATTTACCTTTTAGTTCACTAGTTTAGTCATAAAACAATAATATAAATATTTTTTTTCCTTCCTTTTTAAAATCATCGTCGCGAGTCGCAAAGTAAGCTGTGTATGCGACTGTATTTTGGGAGCGAACAAAGCGCGTAAACCAATAGCGTGCGGCCACAGTAATACTGGCGGATTGTTCCCCCGTCGCGCCCCCTTCTTACCTCTCACTCATAAATCGCTTTCGCTCAGTGCCCAGGTTCAAGGCCAGCGTTTTTTTCTTCAGCGTTCGCACGTACATTGACCTTTATTCAGGTGATATGAATTCAGTAATTCCACTGCTGGTTTTATGTTTCAGTATTTTCATGATTTTTTTAATGAAATTATCGTTTCATTTAGCTGTACTAACATGATAGAGAATGAATAACGCTAATAAAACGTTGTGAAAAAATGATTTTCATTCATCAGGATCGATTTTATATTCCACCCATCATTTTTTTATAGGGTAAGGGTGACAAACGAGCACACAGTCCACCTGATGGTAAGTGGTTGCTGCGACCCATAGACATCTACATCTATCCTCTATTACAAATCAAAATGTAGATGCGCTGTCACCCGTGATGACTAAGATGGAATGCCTCATTTCCAGTAAAAAGGGCCTCCGGCCACCTGCACTTACCAAACAAAACGCAGAGGTAAACCTCTACTTCACGCTGGTTTTCTGTGAGGTCGTGGTACCACCCCGGTTCGAGCCGGCCCATCCGTGCGACAGCAAAAGCTGCCGCGTGGCTCTATCACTGTTGAGAAGGTGTACTTCGTAATGTCGTCTGTTTTAGTTTTCGGGAGCGTTCCAAAAATACTCTGTATACTGTCGTTTTGCTATGCCTTTCTCACTCTAATGCTGATTATGAACGGTGCTTCAGTTCAGTAAATCTCATCAAAACGAAAATCCGAAATAGACTTAGTATTGAGACTGTGCGCTGAACGGCACGCTATTAGCTAAACAACATATAAAACGCTTTGGTTGTTGTGTTGATTTTTCTCCATCAAAGAAATGTTAAATAATGTGAATAGTAAGGTTTTATATGGAGATAAAGACTAATAATTTTGTGTTTTAAAAAAAAACTAAAACTAGAAAGAAACTTAATTATCATATAGTCCTACTCCTCGCGGTTTCGTGCCAAGAACGCTGGCTGCGTTTCCCCGCTGAATGGCTATACTTAGCCTTTGAGCGAGAAAAAAACTAGCCCTCTTATCACCAGCAGCAACGACCAGCCGCGGATGGAGTGCCTTTAGGAACTTCATCGCATGTGGATCCCACGGGCCGATAGTTTCTACATCAAATGGCACAAATATGCAGTCATCTCTCAGAGACTCATATTTTGCCACTTACTCAGTTCAGCTGCATTTGATGCCGCCCCGGCTCTAAACGAGGTACCCCTGAGATGAGAAGCCGCCAGAGTGTCTACGCAAGTATCATCTCACACTAGGGCTTTACTTCTCTTCCAAGGGACCAATGTCATACCGTCGGGTCTCCTGCCATCGTGTTTAAATATTCTACAAGTCTCTAAAACCGAGGGAACATTTATAGATATTTACACATATTTGTGTTTTTAATTCTCAATTTTTGTATAATTTTATAAAACGAATTTTAAATAAACGTACTATTTTTATTTAATGACCTTAGGGAATACGACTTTTTATTTACCCATCGTACGATCGTTTATTCAAAATGTCTGGAAACACTGCTTCAGGCTCAGAAAAGCTAGAACCCAGAGCAGTAAAATGAGTTATAAAAAAAAAGAAAAATTAGGTTAGGCCAGGTTGTTTTCCTAATTATTTTTATTTCATTCTTATGATTACGATGTTTTGAATTAAATCATTTATGATAACATATGAAAATCAAATAATATTATAAAAAATAAGGAAATGTCAAAGAGGCCAGAACATCAAGCTCCGCCTGAACTTGTATGTTTTATTATCCTGCATATTAAAGTAAAAAAATATATATTAGTAACTATAAATTTGTGTTTTTGTTTACAGTTTTATAATGAAGATGAGGCGAGAAAATATACACAAAAGTAAGGTCCTTCCAATTACACATTATCTAACGATTATAAATATTGCAATCTAGATTTGTAATGTTTTGTCCTGCAGCTCCCGTATCATTGAAATCCAGGGACAAATGACTGAACGATGCATTGAATTATTGGTTTTGCCTGAGGATACACCATGCCTGCTCTTAGATATCGGATGTGGTTCAGGCCTATCAGGAACAGTTCTAGAAGAAAATGGTCATTTATGGATTGGACTAGATATATCTTCTGCTATGCTGGGTACGCTTAGTTAAGATTTAGTATTAATTCTCTTAATAAACATTATATTAAACTTATGTTTTGTTATCAAAGAACATACTTTTAATTTAAACAAAGATGTAAGAGAATTTCATATATTTTTGTAATTTGTAATTCCTTTACTAAATGATTTTTTTAATTTATTGTGCAGATGTAGCTCTGGAACGTGAAACTGAAGGTGATTTAATACTAGCAGATATGGGGGATGGAGTTCCTTTTAAACCAGGATGTTTTGATGGAGCTGTGTCTGTGTCAGCATTACAGTGGCTCTTTAATGCAGATAAGAAATCACATCATCCTGTCAAGAGACTCTATAAATTCTTTAGCTCCTTATATGCCTCCTTGGTATGAAAACCTTATTAGCCTATTATTTATTTACTTATATTGGGAACTTTTCAAAATTTGTCAGATAAAAGCAAAGTACCAATATTATTTAAATAAAAGCAAAGTACTTATGCTTTCCAACTTTTAATTACAATATATATATAATATTTAAATATCTTATAGCCTAGTATTTATATGATGAGACTTTTTTCTTAGCAAAATAATAATAAATTATCTTTCAACATTTGCTTAAGTAACAATCACATATATAATTAACTGCTCTATGGTCTGTACTTAGTTCACTATTAATGATGAATGATGATACATGTGTCTGAACTAGACAAACATATATCTGTATTTCAGATCACAAATATCTCTTTTAAAGCTATGAGTCAATATACAATGTGTTCAATGTCTGAATTTATACTTGGCTATACAAATACCGTGTTCCGTGTGGGTTTCAAACTTGCAGCATTCAGCCACACCATAACTCACTGCTAAGGCACTGTGCCACAAAGCTGTCAAATAAGATACAATTTAATAGATATGGGGGTGGAACTCAAACCTCACCCCCACTTGTTTGAACATAAAGGTCTAAGTCATAAAGTACAGCAGGCAACATGTTGGTTGATTCTGTCACTCATTTGCCCGTTAACTTGTTTATTGCAAATTTGTTCCTATAGATTTGCCTCATGATAAGCAGTGTGAAGGTAACATTTTATTTTTAAAAAAATTCTCAATGTTGCATATCCGACCAGCAATACTATATGAAGATATTGTATTGGGCAGAGTGTTAAGCAAATCACTAATATAGTGAATTTCATTTATTAAATTTTTTTATGTGGATAATAGTTAGGTATATAAAAGTATAAAACAATTAAATTTTGTAACATAGTATGAAAGGTGTAAATAAAACTATATATTACTCACCAAAATAAAAATTGTTTTACAAATATTATGATAATAATGGAAACAATTTTTCACCATACAGTTTTAGTTGTGTTTAGTCCTTTTACATACTTAGAAAATTGTACTATACATAGGTTTTTGCTCATAATATGCAATACGAAAATATAGCGTCATGGAGATGTATCATTTGTATACGTAAATATATTGTTTTGTAATCAGATATGAAATATTGATATATAGTTTCAATATGATATTCAGAAAAAACGATATTGCCCACTCCTAGTTTACTGTTAGTATCTGGCACATTGCAGTATGGTGAAGTTATGTTTGTTCTACACTATCAATATATATGTACTACGTACTAGATTGTGCATTCCGAACATACACTATGTTCAACTGAACTGTACTGCAATCCGTACAGTGTGTCATTTAGTGTGGTTTCAATCTACTAGTTAGTCTGTGGTTTCAATATTCATACACTGGAGTGGCGCTAATAATACAATATTTCAAATTAAAATTTAAAGTAGTCAAGTAAAATTATTTGTTGCTCGAATGAATAAATAAGTAATAATATCGTAATATTACAAAAGAAAAAATCATGAAAAAATATATTTCTTTATATAAACTGACCGCGCGGGCGCAATGCGCTTAAATCTAGTACATAGTACATATAACTCAATGTTCTACACTGAATGTGTGGTGTGGCTTGTTGTGAATGTTTCTTTATTGCTGTTAATGATTAATTGCAATAAACAAGATAGCAAGTTGATCCTCACCCTAATCACACTATTTTATTTTTACTCTGAGGGCTTATAACCTTCCTCTCACTAGTTGGGACTGAGGTGAAGTTATTTGTTACCTACACAATGTCGTTATAATTGAAATGTTGCATTTTAAAATGCACAAAACAATGCTTTAGAGGTTTTATAGTAGTATTCAAAGTTTGGTTTATCCATATCTAATCAAATAATAAAATATAACTTTTCCTACCTAACAAATTAACTTCCTGGCCTAGTAATCTGTGAAATATTTTACCTCATCCCAAATTGGTGCAGCCCTGGTGGCATAAAAATCATGGATGACCTAATTGATGTGTCCCTAACATTATGAAATAAAGATTGCTGTAACATAAATAGTATTAATTTATAAACATTAAATAAATAAATAGTCAATTTCTTCTGTTTTAGTCAAGGTCAGCACGAGCAGTTTTTCAATTTTACCCTGAAAATGAAAACCAGTTAGAACTTCTAACCTCCCAAGCAATGAAAGCCGGTTTTTATGGAGGTGTAGTTATAGATTATCCTAATTCAGCTAAAGCAAAGAAATTCTTTTTAGTTCTTATGACAGGAGGATCTGCACCATTACCTAAGGCTCTAGGTAAATACAAAGTTCTACATTCATTTTTGTTACTGTTGTTTATTTGAAAATTATTAAATTGTTTATTAAGTAATACAATTAACATTTATATATTATAACTTACTTCAAAGGTGTTGATGAAGAAGACAGTCTTCAAGTAAAGTATTCAAGACGTGAAGCTTCAAAAGGTGCTAGAGGAAAACCTCTTAAAAATACCAGAGCTTGGCTCCTTGAAAAAAAAGAAAGGCGACGGAAACAAGGAAAGGAAACAAAACCTGATACAAAGTACACAGGAAGAAAAAGAAGTGGACGCTTCTAATATTATTTTATTACTACTACATTAACAATATTCAAAATATATTACTATAGTTTTATTAAAAAAAAAAGAATCATTACTTATCATTTTACACTTTTCTTAATTACATATTTCCAGACTGTGTCTACTCCATTTCCAAATGTTTCTATCGGTGTCATATTAGGCAATGGAAATCTACAAGCGACTACAACAGTATCAGGATTTGCTTCTTGCAATAATTTGCATTCAAACTCTTCCATCATTTGTTCAACTCCAAAGATTACAATATTATTATAAGGTTGTAGGTTAAACGTCCAGAGATTTTGTCTATAAAATTTTGTATTTTGGTACTGACTATTGAGTAAAGCTAATATTCTTGAGTAATATACAAGTATTGTATTGAGTTCTACACCATCAGCTTGAAAGCCTAATTTCGCAGCTGTAAATACTATCCTTCCATCACCAGAACCTATATCCAGTAAGCGACCATTTCGTCCAATTAAAGCCTTAGAAACACCTGCCAATTGGTTGGTAGTAGCTGGAACATAAGGCAGACAGACTTTTCTAAGTGCCGGTGAAATAAATGGTATACATGCGACACTTATACCAACTGCTAGTCCACCAGTGACAAATAATAGAATTTTTCCTTTGGACGATAGTTCCGTAGGAGCTGATGATTTAGAATCGATTATGTCTAGGTCCATTTCATTTTATGCCTGTTTTTAATAATTATCGTAGCAGGCTGTTTTCAAGAAGTTAAATTTTATGAGATTAATTTAATTTATGGAGGTTAGCCATAGGTTATTAGTTATGTATAGTAGTCAGAGATGTATTAAATTACTTCAAGTCAGTGTATATTATATAAATTAATATAATAAATTGATATTGACATTTGACAATGTCGACTTTACATATAACGTTTTATAACTGGCTTTACGGCTCTGGGTTCTAGTCTAGCCATTCTGAGCCGTAGATAGAGTATTGACTAGATAAAGCATTCGCGTATGCTTTTGAGATAGAAATAGGCAGGAGGTACTTTCACTGGGTTACCAGATATTGTTCCATTTCCCCCGTTATGGGTTTATTTATATTCACAGCACTTACATTCATACAAAAAACTTAATTGTTACCATAAAAAAATGTTCTTTTATAATTCAGATGATTAATTAATTTCTCTTGAAAATACATTCTGTGACAAAAACTACGGGCGGAAACGGCGTAAAAACAGAATCATCATTCTGTATTCAACGGCGCATCGACGATTTTACTGGACATTCAATAAACTCTTTGGATTTCGACGGCACTAAGTGAAGGCGCTAATAGCACAAAGTGTGATATCGCTAATAAATAACAATATGTTATGTATGTGCTTAAATATTAATTGAGAATAAAAATATTAAATAATAAACAAAAATTTCCTTGTGTCGAGTTTTGTTGTTTTTACAAAAAAATAAATAAATAATGTTTTAACATACCATTCCATCACAAGTTCAGTGCTGAACACAGACCTTCGAAAGGAAAGGGTTTCCACTTAGGTTTTGTAGTACAAACACGGTTATGAGCCTATTCCCGCGATTTCCTGCATGTTTTGCTAAGTTAGTGTCTTGTGTGCAGCAAGTTGTGGCGTACAAGAGAATTTGTCTGTACACGGGATGATATTACCCCGCGTCGTAAGCAATAATACAAGATGGGGATGGGGCAGCAGCACTTTCCCGATGAAAACTTAAAATAATAAAAAACTGCGGTGGCCAACCAGCATAACGCATATTTTCACGCAGGCGTGGCAACTATGGCAAGTCATCTTATGAGGATATCTATGGAAGGCCTTTTTTAGGTGACTTACTTATGGTTAGGTGGCTTAATCATGTTACCTAATGGTTAAGGTGGTAAAATGTTTTAGTTAATATACGTTGTAAAGCATCAACAAAGGATTCTTTTGTAATATGTTGGTATATAAAATAAAAACGAATGTATTTATAATATTCTATTTTAATTTACCATGCAGTGTAAGATTATTTGCTACCTCATATCATTCCATGGGTGGTGTATGAGGCGACATAGGGAAACATCAAAGAAGATAAACAGCAGCATTGTCCTGATAACAGCTAAATAATGGTTGACAACCCGCTTTCTAAGCGTTGAAACTATGCCAAATAACTATAATCATGTTTATGTTCAACAGTGGACTTTTGATAGACTGTAAAGATATATATTCTATTTAAATGAAAATATATTGAAATTTGAAAAGGAAAAAGAACTAAATTTTGTGTACTTACACAACATTTAGAAATATTAACAATGTTACATTAAATAAAACAAATGAAAAAACAATTATATATTAAATATAATTCAATAAAATTAAAATAAACAAACGATTATTTATTAATTTTTCATCACATTAATAAACAACAAATTTAACAAAATTTTTGTCTTCTTTCTATTAAAAGGGAATATTATTTGCCTTGTATATAATATATTTTAATGGTATAAATAATAAGGTACAACTCCTAAACTATACTTAGATAGGTAATACTTATCTCTTGTCAAAACCATCTTTATTACATTATTTTTATGACAATTAAATAGAAATTATCATAATTATTACATTTATTTCTTATTTATTTACACATTAATGTTTATAACACCTTTATAAAAGGGATTAAGGGTGGAATAAATCTAAATGTCCCATTGGTAGGCATTCCCAGTCAGTTTTACAATTATTATTGTATAATAAATTATTCATTTGTATATTTAGGTCAGGACTTTAAATTACTTATTTATTTATTTTATTTAAATCTTTATTTGCATAAAACATGGTAGTACAGATAAAGTTCCAACATTTGTAAATGAGGATTCATGTTATAAGTAAATATTTTATCATTGTCATGCCACCCAATTATTACAAGTCATAATAATATAGAATGTCAGCATTTGAAAATAAAATAAGCAATGCTAGTCAATTTTTAATGCATACAGAACAATGTCAAAAATCATAACTACCAACAAGATCAAACTTATATCACTTATGGAGAAACAACAAGATACAACAAGAAATTATAACATTTAAAAAAATTATCTTAATTATATTATAAATTACATAAGTTAAGCATATTTAGTCCACCTAAAACAATGAGGCTTAAAATGTTTTGAGCATACACTGCTAAGTTTGTTGGTTACCTATAAGCACTACCAGTAGCGATTATCCAACTGTTACGGATAACTGATTCCTTAGGAAAGCTGTGAAATGATATATTTAAAAGAAATTAATATATTAAATATATAGTACACTTTTATATCAAGGTATTTAACAAAAAAATCAAGTATGTGTATCTGTGCATAAATACAATACCTATAACAATTAAAACAATATCAATTGATTTAATTAAATAGCAATTATATGTAAATGTAATGATAATATTATTCACACCAAACATTTAAAAAAATATGTACATATTAAGCTTTAGAAATTGTTAATTAATACATTTACAGCCTAACAAATGTCCTCCACCGCTGAACATAGACCTCCCACACAGTTTGTCTCCAAATAACTGCAGTTGCCAATTCTCCTGCCAAGCTAGGCAACTATCACAAAACCTATAACTTTTGATACTGACTAATGGTAACAGTAAGTATATTATCATCAAATTTTTTCTACATCATTAATTGAGAATATTATCTTATGTTGTTGTGTTATTGTGTACCTTAAGATTAAGACTTATTTATTTATTTATTATTTTATCTATATTTATATTTATTTTTATATTAGCATGACATATTTTTTTTAATAAATATTGTAATGTAATTGTTGCTAATGTATAATAGAATTAATGGAATGCAATAACGTTTTGTGCATCTGATTTCAGGCAATACATATTTTGTGAAATTAAATATACTTTGCCCAATATTTATGTACTTGAATCCAAACATGTTTTCAGGTTGATACTTATATATTATTTGTGACATCTATGTAATATGGAAAATGATTGAAGAGTTGTAGGGCAATAAGGAGTTTCCTTCAAAGCTGAACATAAAAGTGTATGTATATGTATAACATTATGTGATTCATATTTATGGACATAACTACTAATCACAATAACAATTATTATTGAACAATGCGAAAACATTATTGTACTCGCTGATATCCCTAAAGTTTCTATAATCCTACCAAATCAAAAAGTACACGTTTGTTATGACTTTAAGCTTTCGAATGACCGTTCAAATTAAGGAGCATTATCATGAAGAATTTACAATTTGGGAGTCCAAATATTTGACAAAATACATCACAAAGTTCGTTAAAAACATGAAATGTTACACTTTATATTGAAAACAATAGATATTAATCAGTACAAGTAGCAAATGTTAGCACAAAACAAACTTACCGATGAAAGTTAATATTATCAATTTTTCGTTGACTGATGCTGTTGCATCCTAAAATGCTACAACTTACCATCTTTTTCACCTTACCTAATAACTAATATCCACAAAAAACACTAAATTCAATTACCTGTTTGCTTATAATATCAATATTGTTCAAAAGAGCTTGACATCGTTAATGTCAAATAAAGGAGGGAAAACAATCAAAAACGCATACCTAGAAAAAGACAAGAAATATAGATTTGCTTCTCCCTTACTCTTATGTCTAACTATATACGTGCATTCCTTTCACACGCTGATGACGTCACTGAATGTTTAGTCTATAAGATACTATGTCTATGTTCTGAGCTACATGTAAAACGTCTTATACACGGTCGATCTTGACGTACGTCCCGCCACGGTCATGCACGACGCACGATGTAAAATGACAATGAATAGGCTTGACGCTTGCTACATATATATTTATCTATGGGCTTGACGTAGATCAAAATGGACCGTGTATAAGACATTTAACATGCATGTTCATATGCCACAGACTACTAAGAGGATATACATAGGCATAGCTACCTTCAAAGAGTATAGTAACTGTCCTTGGCTACCTTATATATCTTTGTCTCTGACTGTAGGCATTGCCATAAAACACAACTACTCTATCTCAGGTCGAAGAAGATATTTATTTTTCGAAATAGTTTGATTTTTTAAATTAGTATATAGTATAAATTTGTTTTATAATAACTACCAACGACTATAATCACTACGCTTAACTATGATCTCTCGAGTCGCGAGTAGTTGCTGCCTTGCACCCCCGCTACCCATCGATATAAGAAAAATAGTATCAATCACGCAATATAAAAAACAAGAGGAAGTAGCAAAAGGCATCATTTGTAGTGGTAGTGGAACCACTGTCGCCAAACTGACAAATAGGTTATAAAGAAATGTGTACCATTTCAATAATTTTCGGGCGATTGGCTGTTAAAAACTTAATGGAAAAGGCATTATGTTACTCACCATTCACTTGACTACGAACCATAATGCCTTAAAAATAGTGATAATATTACTTTTCATCAACGAAGTTTCTAGAATTAATGAACAAATTTATCTTCTTAACGCTAGATGTCACAATAATTACAGATGGGCAAAGCACCGGGTTAAAACCCGGTGCTTTGGTAAAAACCCAATAAACACCCGTAAACACCCATAAACACCCAAAAAATTGGGTGTTTATTTAATTTGTGTAAATACTTAAGTAATATTAAAAACAAGTTTTAAAATTTATTTTTATTGATTATAATGATCAATACAACTATAGAAATTTAAAGAAACATCACCC